GCTCGGGGCTCTGCTCGGGACTCTGCTCGGGGCTCTGCTCGGGCTGATGCCTCATCAGGAGAGTTTGAATTGCGAACTGCTGCTGTGAGCGGTAGCGAGGCGATAGTTCGGAAGATCAGAGCGTGGTTGTTGAAGCTGAGAGTTGGTTTTGGAGAGTTTGCCTGCGGAGGGAGCGTTTTGAGCCGGAATGGAAGTTGCCGAGGAGCAGTGCTGCAGGAGTTCCCGGTTCCCTCCGCAGACAGGCGCTGTAATGTGTTTGTGCTTTGGTGTAGCATCTCGGTGTGTATCCCCGATGCTGTGAGCCTGTCGGTTCCGAGGAGACGATATCTATCATTGCTGAAACGAGTGGGGTAAAAGTTACCAACTCTAAGCCCCAGTAAGTAACACTGTGGTTTTTGATGTGCAGGAAGCAGTTACAATCTAAGAAAAGCCATATGCGGTGTTTGTCTAGAGTTGGTTTGGGTTGGTGTTTTTTAGGTTGGGTTCGATTTTTTTAAAAGGTTATTCTGTCTGGTGAACGCTTCCAGAGATGCTACAAAAGAGGAACGTCCCTTTAGTTTCCTTCCTTATAGTTAAAAGTGGAATCCAGTAGCCATCTGTCGCTGGAGACAGTCAAAAGAGGATGTTGGGGCTCATGCTCTGAGTAGCCAACGCATGCGAAGAGCAGCTCTTCTGTAGCTAAAAGGTTCAAAATTCAGCTACTGCTTGGAAAAAAACTGGTGTGCAAGGATTCAGCTGGTGATTCTTGGATGCATGGAAAGTAAGGGAATTTCCCTTTTCAGCTGCTTACTTATGAAGTTTCCCACTGTTTCGTACCTTGGATTTATTAATTCCAGACTGGTCATCGTTGCTGGATGGGCATTGTGGTGACTGTAGGAAAAGACAAGGTACCCAGAGTACTTTTAAAGGAATAATAAAGATTCATGGCTCACAGCTGTATGATCCAGGTGAATAAATGGTGGTGTGGTCAGAAGTTCTTCGAGAGGAAATCGAGTTGGCTTTTCTTGTTGTATAAATATAGAGTAAGGAATGTGCTGTTTACATGGTGCTTTTGTTGTTTTGTTTGTGTGACAGTTGTTGTGTGTTAAGGAGTTTGCAAGAGGCACGTGTGGGAAAGAGACAGGATAGGAATTTAGGTAAGGGATGTGCTGCGTGGGGTTCTGCAGAGGGTGTGAGTCTGTGCTGCTTGATACTGTGCCACACAGGCCACAGTTTCAACAGCTTGAGAGTGACAGCAGCTTGGAAAACCGTTGTAGTGTGTAGTGCTTCTGGATCAGCGTGTCTAACTCAATTAGCTGTGTCTGAATCACTCAAAGTTTGATGGGTTTCCACATATTGTTTTTGTGCTTGTCAAAAACAAGGGCCAAAACTGTGAGTTTTCACGTGGAGAGTTGTATATATTGATGTTATTGATACGTTTTGTGGTTTCAGTCCAAGCTCCTGTTTGGAGAATGCAAATATTTGCCGTTTTTGATAGTGCATTTCAGCTGATAATTGCAGCGTTATTAGCGCTGCACTCACTGTTCTGTCTGTGGTGTACAAAGAGCCTTTATCTGCAGTCTGGTGCTGCAGTGCTATTGTGTGATGGGGAATGCAGCTTCTGAAAGATTCTGCTCTAAAGGAAAGCTACAGCTCATGTAGTTGCCTATTCAGTGGCTTAGCTTGGAGTTCTCTAAAGTGTGGTGCTGTTAAAACAAGCACTCATTTGCTGTGCTGGTAGAAGCAGCTGGCTGCTCTCTGCACATCATGCGAGCAGTTGTGTCTCTGAAGCAAATTTTCAACTCAGTGGAAAGTTTGCTTCAGCAGAAACTCTGCAGCTGTGCTCTGCTGTGTGTGCTGTGCTGGCTTCTCTGCCTCTTGGTTTCTAACCTGTATGAAAGATAGCGAGCTCTCCTGTGATAGTAAGAAATGTGTGTATATTTATGTTATCATATTTATCCTCTGTTGTGAATTCTGTGTGTTACTCTCACAGAAATATTGGTGGAAGAACTGCCATTTTGTAATACCCTCTTTGATGCACGGAGTTATCTCCCAGTTTCCAGTACCAGCAAATGTCTGCCTTCCTCACTTAAATGATCATGCACACACATATATTTTGGTTGTTAAACATCAGTATCAAGCTTGTTTCAAAGGGTATATATAACTTCACTTTGTCACTAGGTGATTTTAACAGGAGAAATTTATCTCTGGGATTTATAAAGATAACTAAGTTTCAGGGGGATCATTCATGTAACTACTACACTTCCTACTATATTATCTCTTCCAATAAATTGTTTCAGACTTTGATTTGTTTGCCCTTCAGTGGAAGTATCATTTTTAAGGAGATTTAGTAAAGTGTTAAGGGATGTGGATTTGGGAATCAGCTTTTGTGGGGAAAACCTCTTTCCTGTCTTTTAAATTCTTAAAACAAGTCAAGACATCACATATCAAATATGCTATATGTGTCAGCATGTGGAGTGGGAAGTTATGCTCCTAACTGGGAGAGGAGAGAGGAATGTTGGGTCACTTTTCTGTTAGAAAAAAATGTTCTGGTGGTGTAACACCCAGCAGTTTTAATAACCTCATAAAATTTCAGGGTGTTTCCTGCTGTCATGTATCCTGTGCACCCTGTTTATATTTGTGCTGAACTGCTCGAGGAGAACCTTAACATTTGGTGGTGGTTGCAAAGGATCACTGAACATGAGGGTTAGTGGTACTTAGCCCAGAGGGAGAGACCTTGACAAGTGCCATGCCCAGCACACAGATCTGAGTCCTCTGGAGCTTTCGGTGATTCCCTGACATGGCTTCAGCCCCCGCCAGCTGTGACCAGCTAGGTGATGTCCCCAGTAGCTGTTTGGATGCAGTTACTGTGTTTTTGGGGATTGCTCAGGACGAGAGCAGTGCTGCACTGATGCCAGGATCTGAGCTTGCTTTCTGTCCTCTCATATCTATTGTGTGCAGGGGATCTGAGGGAGCAAAGGAGCAGGGTCATAGGAGAGAGAAGGGTTTGAAGGCTGATAAGGAGGAGAGGAGGGTGTAAACAGGGATAGAGGTGGGTTGTGCTGAGTAGGCTGGAAGCAAGAGGAAGCTGGGGAAAATGGTGATCAGGGAGGATGGAGAATGGTCTGCAATGAAATGAGAGACCAGTGAAAGCAGCTGAGGGGAAGCAGATAGATGTGCCCGGGGTGCATGAAAACATTAGTTCTGTCCTTTGCTCACCAGGATTTTTTTAGGCTCTCATGGCACTGAGTCTGCCCTGTATTGTGCTATGTAATAAAAGCCTGTAAGTACATGCTTTTCAAAGTAATCACTAATGTCCACTTAAAAATTGGTCTGGAAAAGAAACACTAGATATAAAATCTCACTCCCCTATGTTCTGTGCTAAATCATGGATTAAATAAGGGAATGGCCTGGTTTCTCAGCCCAGTAGCAGCTGTAGACACAGAGCTGCCATTCTGCTTGCAGTGAGCATGATCATACAAGAGATTCAGGCTCCTCAGAGGTAATCATGTTCTGCTCCAATGTACTTGACTATTCCCACTTAAATCTCACAGATTTTGATGAGATTAGGTGCCCAGATACTTTGACTCAGGTTCCTAAAATAAACGTTGCAAGTGATAAACAAGAACCACATCCTTTTGCACGCAGGGAAGGCAAACTGAGGCAGAGCTAACTTGCTCTACACTTGTGCCACGTATGAATTCTGCACTGGTGGTTTGGAGACAATCATCAGGTTCTGACTCCTGACCTTTAACTAGCAGGCTGTGTTTCTTATGCAAAACCCCCACTCGTGTCAAGGGAGAAGAGGAGATGTTCATTTATTTAGAACAGTTGTCCATCTCACTGTTAGTAAAACAAACAAACACCACAGGTCCCTACCAAACAAAACTCAGGAGGCTTTGCTCTTGTGCCAATATTTCGTAGGGCTTTAACCTTAGCATTTATTCTAGTTGCCAGCTGGAAAGTGCATCTGCTGGTATAGCTCTGCATAGATAGTATTTTGAGATACTTGCTGAGGTTTAGTGTTGTGGTGGAAGGAGAGTTTTTTTTTAACAGAGGTCAAGCAGAGTGTTACTAAGATCCATATTTTCAATCAGTTGGTAGGGAGAAATGAAGGAGTTATAAAAAAATAGAAGCAATATTGGTTACAGTAAGAGTTTTGTGCACCTCTCCACTGTGTAGTGACCTGAAGTGGAGCTCTTAGCCTGAATTCTCATGGCCTGCTCTCCTGCTTCCTGGGGCATTTTGTGTGTGGCAGGAGAGGAGGCCAAGCACTTAGTCTGTGTTAGAGTTTTTCAAATGAGAAGTAAAATTCATGGAGTCTTTCCAAGTAATAGGTGTTAGAAAGGGTAGCCAGCAGACAATTTTTTTGCACCACCAGCCTTTAATGTTATGCCCTGGGATAGAGAAAAAACACTCTTCATAGAAGCAGAATTTCAGTGGACTTGGAAACAAACAAGCAGAAAACACGTCCAAATATCACCTGCCCCAAAACACGTTGACTCAGGTGGAGTGAGGTTCTTCCACCAGCTGTCACTCCTCCTGTTAGACTGGATTAACATCTGGGCTGGTCCTCCTGCTAAACAAAGCATTATTTTTCTTTCTCTGCTTTTTCCCAACTTCCAGTGATGATTCTTTTCTTAAAAATAAATGTCATGCATGTGACTGACCGGGATTTGTCTTAGAGAAGCCAATGTTGTTGACAGTGCCAGAACAAAAAGCAAATGGTCCTTTTACGACACGGACTGCGGTCACTGTGTTCTGCTGGCAAAAGGTGCTTGAACTCCAATAAAACAGTGACAGTGCCTCCTTACTTGCTCATGAATTTTATGACTGTAAGGAATTTTTGCCTCCTTGCAGGCAAAGTAGAATTCAAGTGTGGGGTGTGTGTTTATTTTCAGTTTTATGGTGTTTCCTTCAAAGACAGCATCTGAATCCAAGGGTGCAGGAGCAATGGGGAAGGCATCCCTGTGCCTGGCACTCCTCATTTCTAACCACGATGGTGTTGTTTTCAATGTTTTCCAGAGATAAATGACAGCGAGGGTCACCCAAGCAGCAGCCAGCAAACCTTGAAAGGAACCTCAAAATGGGCTACATCACTGGAGAACCTCCTTGAAGATCCAGAAGGAGTGAAACAATTTAGGGTTGCTATATTAACTATGGATATTTCTATAGAACAAAATTGAGTTGAATGAGTCTCAGCAGAAAGGGTGCAGCTGTGCCAGTGCTGTAAGCACAGAGACATACCCTGAGCAGAGGTGGCACAGTTGGAGCTGTGGCATGGGCTGAGCTTCTGAGGTGGCACCTTTTGCCCCCTGCCACTGCAGATGCTCTTGTAAGGCAAGACTTTTGGCTGCATCTTTCGAGTCAGATCTATTTGCTCTTGCAAGGATTAACAAGTTACTGTTGGATAAACTGCAGTCCTTGAGCCACTGATCTCTCCTGCCAAGTGTTATTTGTTTCTAAGGAGATCCTGGGCTCTTTATTCTCATACGTTTTCTTTAAGCAATGAGTGACCACTACCAATCTCTGAGCGTGATGACTCTGTGACTCTTGTTCTGTGCTCAGCAGCTGTATTGAAAAGTACTCCCTTTCAGTTTGCTGCAAAGTGTGGGCTTTGTGCAGCTCAAAAATGCTTGGAGTTTAATTAGCTGAGGGTGGTGAGCTGGTTTTTCAAGGCCTTCTTGCCATATTAAGTGTAAGAATAGGAACTACCTATTGAAAATGCTCTTGCCACACCATACTGATAAAATGCACTGGGATAGACTAATTTGAGAAGTGATGTAAACTAGAATAATGTAACACTGATTTCAAATTCCTTAAAAAAACAGTAGTAATCTTGGTGCTGTTTAATTCTTGGCATTATTTAATCTCTGTTTTCTAATACTTGAAAGAGAAAACTGATCACTTTAGAGCTATAAATATTTCAGTTATTATCTTTCATAAATAAATTCAATGTACACTTTCCCCCATTTTAAAACAGGCCCCACTTTGGGAGGAATGTGGTGTGTTTAAACACTGCAGAGAATGCAGACACATCTTCTGCTTTAGTTTGCTTAAGTGAATTTATTGCCACAGATAGAAGTTTAGAAACACTTTTATTTGCAGAGATTTTACACCTTACAGGAATCAGAAAGGTACTAGATGAGAATCTCAAGTGATCTGTAACTCTCATTAAAATAGTTTGTTATACTTACCTGCTAATGAATTTATATAGTGTTGGGTTTCCCTTTGAGTAAAGGCTGTAAAAGTGCTCAAGTTATTTAAGGCAGCCTGAAGAAACTCTGCCTGTGAGTTGCTGATAAACTCTGAGATCAAACCTAGCCCATCATTCTTCTGGAATGTGCCTTCAGCATGCAGAACATAGGAGTGTTCATCCCTGTGCTGGTATGTGCAGATGCACTAATGCCATAGTTCTGTTACACTGTTTTGTAAACTCATGGTAAAGGCAGTTGTAGGTGACTTCTGGTTTTAGTAGCTCCAGCAGGAAGAGAGAAAAACAGTTGAGAAATTGGATCCTAACATTTGTGTGTTTGGTTTTCTCTTTCCTAGGAGTTTTTAAAGAAAGAATTTAGTGAAGAAAACGTTTTGTTCTGGCTAGCATGTGAAGAATTTAAGAAAACACAGGGCAAAAAACAGGTATGTTTCCTAAATAAATTTTACTTGTCAATGTGGCTTCCGTAGCAGAGCTGGAGCTAGAACATCCCTGTTGCCTAACAGCTTTGTGTGGATGCAAATAAATGTATTTGAAGAAACTGCACTAAAATCATCGTGGAGGAATTGTTTGGGAACAAAGCTGGTTCTACTTCAACTCAAAACAAAATGCTGAAATTGTCAAGTTTCCTGTGTTTTGAAAACTGAACTTTTTGTAGTTGCTTGGGAATAGCAAAAGGTTTATTCATTCAGTGATGTTGTATCATCTTGCAGATATAAATGTGTTTCATTGAGTACATAACAGCTATTCCATGTACACCACTATAATATTTTAGTGGAGCATAATAATAACAAAGAGCACAAACAAAATATTTTACACTACTGGAATGAAATATTTTCCCTTATCACATTACAAGTTACAAAACAAAAGGAGTCTGTTTAAACATTTTTGTTGAAATATTTATCCAGACTGATATATACCTGCAGAGCATTTTTATTTTCATGAAAGTTATTTTTTTGTAGTAGAAAATATTATATTGGATATTTTTCAACCAGCCACTGCCAGTAAGTTTTTTTCCACAGCTTGAATCTTGGTCTGCATTTAGATCTACAGGATCCACTTTCACATTTAGACTTTGAAGCCAGTAGAGTCAGGCCTAAAATAAGTACTGTGTTTTGTCTGCTTGTTGCTGAAAAAGCTTTTGTGACTGGTTTTTGTTTGTTTGTTTGGGGCTCTGTTTGTTTGGTTTGGTTTGTTCTTTTCTTGAGATGTCTCAAATGTGTTTGATCTTTGAGAGGAGGGTTCTGTGAGCATGAAATGAAGTAGTTCCAAAACTGAGCATTGTGAGTCAGACTCCTACAGCCTTTTTATTGCAATCCCACCTTTTTGCTTCCTTCCTGTGTGCAGCCCTTGCTGCCTAAGGGAGCATTTTAGAAGGCAACAGCCCCTTTTGCATACTTCTGGTCAAAGTACCTCGAGTACCACGAGGAGGTGAGACTGGGAAAATGCTGCTTGAACCTGCTTCAAATGGGACTAAATGTGCTTTGAGTAACAGAAATGCCAGGGAATAGGTATCAGGTGGGATAACTGGGCTCGTAGGGGCGTTATGAAGTGCAGGTGTAGGAGACCTGTGTCCAGACTGCACAGTTCTTCTCTTCAGGTCAGTTAACTATTGTCAGCTGAAAGTGTTTCCCTGCAGATTGTCAGAAAAAAAATTTCTCTGATTTTCCAATCAGAATATTTCTGGGAGGGGAGTCTCCTTTCTGTAAATATTGTCTGTTTTACACTGAAAAAGCATTCCACTCTAAACAACTTGCTTGGTTTAGTTGTGAAGATTTTATTTTGTATTGACAAATCCCTAAAAAATACAAAATTAGTATTTTTTGCAAGAAGAGGAAAATGTTGTGTTTGACTGTGCACTTTGTAGCGTCTAGCACTGTTTCAGTGTGTGCTTCCCTCCCTCGTTAAGGTCCATGAATGCAGATAATCTTCAGAAAAGAACAACTAGGCAGTTTACTTTTCTGTGAAGTCCCACGCTTTGCAGTGGGGTAATCATCATATTTTTCCTTGCTAAATTACTTCCAGCTTTTTAGCTCTTTTAGGATTGCACATGCAATGGCAAAGTGATGTGCAGAGAGAGTAACTTAGTGAATCCTTGGGGGAATTGCCAAATGAATGGACAGAGAGTGAGCTAGGTTCTATTTAGCTTAATTATTCAGTGCCAGTCATTACACTGTATGGTCAGTCTGGAGTCTTGTACTGCCCAGGCTACTACATCTGGCTAGAATAAATGTGCTTTAGAAAGACACAGACGTACAGTGAGTTTTTTATAGCTACTGCTTATGGATGGCTTTGTTGAGATCATTTACAAAGCTGGGAAAAGCACTAAAAATAGAAATCTTTCCAGTGTTTATGGTAGGATGAAGCATGAAGTTGTCTTCTGAAAGTGGCTCTTGTAGAAATCAGTTTGCATCTATCTGTTGTGAGCAAAGTGTTCTGAAAACAAATTTTTGCTTGTTTTATAACCTGCTTCTCCTTAAAACATGTTTAGCATAGAAACTAACTCTTAGACACTTACACTTTTGGTCAGATGAAGCTGATACCAATTTAACCCAGATTGGAGTGGCTGCAAAGGAGGCCACAAAGACTGGAGCACCTCTGCTGTGGAGCCAGGCTGAGAGAGCTTGGGCTGTTCAGCCTGGAGAAGAGAAGGCTCTGGTCAGATCTCAGTGCCCCTTCCAGTACCTAGAGGGGCTCCAAGAGAGTTGGAGAGGGACTTTGGAGAAGGGCATGGAGTGATAGGACAAGGAGGAATGGCTTCAAACTAAAAGAATGCAGGATTAGGTTAGATATAAGGAAGAAATTCTTTACTGTGAGAGTGGTGAAACACTGGGACAGGTTGCCCAAAGAGGTGGTCACTGCTACATCCTTGGAAACCTTCAAAGCCAAGCTGGATGGGGCTCTGAGCAACCTGATCTAGTTGAAGATGTCCCTGCTCATTGCAAGGGCTTGGAACTAGGTGACCTTTACTGTCCTTACAAGCCCAAACCGTTCCATGATTCTATGGATGGGACTTTTTTTCTTCCTATTTTTAGAGTATAAAATAAACTCTTCATTACTTGACAGGAGAGTGCTAGTGTGGGGTTTTTCCTGCATAGTTTAAACTTGCACAAAGGTCACCATCTGGACAGTGGGTTAAATATCCATTGTGCCTGTGTTATTGTATCCCTTCTATGTCAGCCTGGCGCAGTGTTTGGGTTTGTATAGGCTGGTATTCCAGTAGGGTGGTTGGTCCAGTAAATGTCCTGATGTCCTCATGTTCTTTCTGATCTTGGCAGGTAGATGGAGGCTCACTCTGCTTCTGTTTTCCTTTGTTTGCAGACTGTCTAACAGCATTAGTGCCACTCATTCTTTACTAGTGGTGAAACACTGGGACAGGTTGCCCAAAGAGGTGGTCACTGCTACATCCTTGGAAACCTTCAAAGCCAAGCTGGATGGGGCTCTGAGCAACCTGATCTAGTTGAAGATGTCCCTGCTCATTGCAAGGGCTTGGAACTAGGTGACCTTTACTGTCCTTACAAGCCCAAACCGTTCCATGATTCTATGGATGGGACTTTTTTTCTTCCTATTTTTAGAGTATAAAATAAAGAGGTGGTCACTGCTACATCCTTGGAAACCTTCAAAGCCAAGCTGGATGGGGCTCTGAGCAACCTGATCTAGTTGAAGATGTCCCTGCTCATTGCAAGGGCTTGGAACTAGGTGACCTTTACTGTCCTTACAAGCCCAAACCGTTCCATGATTCTATGGATGGGACTTTTTTTCTTCCTATTTTTAGAGTATAAAATAAACTCTTCATTACTTGACAGGAGAGTGCTAGTGTGGGGTTTTTCCTGCATAGTTTAAACTTGCACAAAGGTCACCATCTGGACAGTGGGTTAAATATCCATTGTGCCTGTGTTATTGTATCCCTTCTATGTCAGCCTGGCGCAGTGTTTGGGTTTGTATAGGCTGGTATTCCAGTAGGGTGGTTGGTCCAGTAAATGTCCTGATGTCCTCATGTTCTTTCTGATCTTGGCAGGTAGATGGAGGCTCACTCTGCTTCTGTTTTCCTTTGTTTGCAGACTGTCTAACAGCATTAGTGCCACTCTAAGAAAGAACCCTGGGCCTTTCCTCATGGCTAAGTCAATTCGGTTCAGTTGCTATCTCATCACAGTCACGTGGGCTCTGTCTAGAAGCTGCCTTAGATCAAGCCAACACAGGCAGATCTTGCAAGATGCTGTGCAGATCTATCTTCTCTATCCCCTTCCTTTTGAATGTGAGCCGCTGTGTAGCCAGGAGTGGTAGGTCACAGGATCAGAGGGAGCACTGGCAGGAGGAATCCAGGCTCTTGGCTGTTGTGTTGGCTCTAGAATAGTGGTGGGAATGCTTACTGAGAAGAGAAAAACAGAGCTCAGACCAGTTTGCTTCATGAGTTTCTGTTTGTTTTCCTGTTTGGGTGAGCCAATACAAAAATGCACGGATGTTTCAGGGAGCAGGGGAGGTTTTCAGCATCTGCAGAGCTAGGCAGCAAGCAGACTGGTCTAGGCAGGTTTTAAATGGGCTGGATTCAGCCTATCTTCTTGCAGCAGGAAAGTACAAAACACATCCCTGTAGTTTGAAAAAAATATTGTTTAAAATTGGGGTTGAAATGTGACTTTCAGTGAAGACTGAGAAAGGAATTGGGTCCAGTCCACTTGTAGCAGTGAGCTCCGCTGCCACCCATGTGGTCTTCATTTTAGGGCACATTTAATTATTGCAAGGGGAGTGGTGGGATTAAGTGGATAAAAATTTAACTTAAAATGTTTTATTGGAGTTAGTCATACGTTGTTGCATTTGTGACTGTTAATGAAATAAACAACATGTCAGTTGTGCTGCTTCCCAGGGTTTAAATGTTTCTTCTCCTGCAGCTGAGCTTTAAAAGTAAATTACAGCCTGTAATAAATGCTTTCAACAACGGGGAATACTTTCAGTTATTGGTAAAACCCACCAGATATCCATGTCAAGAGGTTTTGTAGAGAATGATTTCAGAACAAAGTCTGCATATTCAAGAGTTTCTTCTGTCTCTTCCCATGTGGAATGTAGCAAGGGTTTAGCAGGGCTGGGTAATGCTGTACAGCTGCTGACTGCTGGAGCCTGTTCTGATGAGCATCTGGGGCTTCCATCCACCTCATTTGGCAACCACACATGCTTGAGAGCTGAGTTTGACCTTAGCAAAGGAAGTGGGAAGGAGTATTGTATCCACATGAAATAGTGAGGGGGATTGCTGTGGACAGGACTTTGTACTCCAGATGGGAATCTGGCACGGATGCTGGGGTGAGCACACAGATGGAAGTGAAAAGTGCCAGAAAACCTTTAATAACCACCTGTGAACAAGGCCCCAGTTTAAGTGCTGTTTCAGTTTCAGAGCAGAGTCCTCTGTGCCAAGGCAATAGTTTCACGTGATGTAGAACAACAAATGCCACTGATGAACAGGAACTATCACTGTCACTTCCACCTGAACCTGCCTCTTCCTGAATGGCATTTGGGGCACGTACAAACCTATTGGCAGCTGTAACTGTGCTTCCTTTTTAAAAAGAGTTATAAATTGTAGTTAAACTGATGTTGTACTATTGAATCTTAGACATGGCATAACAGTTCTATTTGCAGCAGAACCTGTGATGTTTAGCTGTGCATTTCCATATTTCCCCATTGCTATAAAGTCAGGTCCCCTGTGTCTCTCCTCTCCCTACGACAGCTCTTTCACTTCCTTTCTGTGTTATTCTTCCTCACAAAATCCAGAGAGCCTCCCTGTTTCACCAGCCTCCCACACAGTCCTCTTGTTCCCTTATGGAACTTCCTCACAGTACTTCTAGTTTTGTGTTTACTCTCTGCCCTTACTCTGCAGTGCCCAACTTGTTCCTGTGTTCCTTGGGCAAGCAGCACCTTGTGCTGTGGCTGGTGTGGAGCTACATCTGCCTTGATTAGCCAGCAGATAAGTACACCCTGGCAGTTCAAGTAGGGCAGATATCTTTTGAGCATAATCTGCAGCTTTTTCCTTGGTGCATGTGCTGCTTATCCTCTCTCTTTCTTTTCCCTTGCCACTCTTTTCCATTGAATCAGTAGGAGGATTTTTTTTTTTTCCTCAGTCCTTTGCCCCTGCCTCAAATATGGTTGTAATTGATCAGCAGGTCCAAATGTTTTTTTGGTAGGACTGGCAATAGTCATTTAGCTTGCTCCTGTGATGATAGCTAAAGGTACCTTTACTGTGTCTGCATTAGGGCATTAACTTGGCCAGTTAAAGCAGTCACATCTCTGATTGATCGGATTAATTGCTCATTTAGAACAGACATGGCTGACCCATTCCTCCTTGATCTGTGGAACTGGAAAGATTGGAAATTGTTAAAACCAGTTTGTTGTTGTGACCTAATGTGCCTGACACATAATGCTCTACCCATCAGATGAATAATGTGCTTTAGCAAGGAGTACTGGAAAATGTGTGTCCCATTCAGCAGTGAGACAGTTAACTCCTTAGGCCTCGTGAAGTCTCACACACATGCAGCTTTTCTTCTAATTATCCACGAATGTAAATGTATCTCAGCTGTAAAACATGAAAGAAATTCTGTGACTCCTTCATGGCCAAGGATTTAAATGCTTCTGTCTTCAAGCCCACGTCCCATCAAAGGCACAGCCCTTGAGCTGGTGCTGGTCTGGAGCTGTGGCTGCTCATTTGAGGTACTGTGAGGAATACTGATGAGTACCTACCTGTGGGTCAGGATCACACAGTGCCTGCTGCTGAATTTGGGTTGCAGCAGGCAGGTTTGCCTCTTGCCTGGCTTGGCTCTCTTCTTCCCCTCTGGCTTTCTCTTATCTGACCTTCTAGTCAAGGTGGAGCTTTGCATTGAATTTCAGAGGATTGTGACCACTCACTTACTGCTTTGAAGTTCAGAGATGCTCTTGGGTCAAGATGTTATCCCTGTTACTGGTTTGTCAAGAGAAGAATGCTGAAATCAGAGAGAACACCAACAAAGAGTTTTATGCAAGTCACACCTACCCTTATTTATCAGCTTTCAGAGGTTATTAAGAGTCTTATCTTTACCATTTAGCCAAGTTGTTGGTGTTTTCTAGAATCATGTAGTCAGTGTTGTAGGTGGGTTGTTAATAGTTAAGACCAAAGTATGTGGTATGACAAGGTTATCTAACAGTAGCACAGATTATACACTTAACTTTGCTTAGTTTTGCTTTGCAGTAAGTTTCCACAGTGTTTTATCCTCTGGGTTCCATGCACATGCTAATTATCTGTTAGTAAAAACAGTAGTCTAAATAATGAAGACAAGGCCTGGTTGATGATGCTGAGCAGTTTTACGCTGGATATTAAGATTCAAACATCACAACCTGCTGTAACCTAAGTGCTGAATATCAGGAGCTTCCACCAATATTACTGTTGACATTGGCCTGCAGATATTTTTTCCTCCAGTTCAAATGAATACAAACAAGTAAGCTAATGATGTGTATTTGTTACTTTTTTTTTTCAATTCAAAATATGTTTTGGTTTTAGGAACTTCCAAAAGTGACCCAGAGCAGTCTCCACCAAAACATTCACCAATACAGAGAATATTTCCACAACAAATAATCCTTTAAATAAATATGTCCTTTTGCAGATGCAAGAAAAAGCTAAAGAAATTTACATGACTTTCCTGTCCAGTAAAGCTTCCTCCCAAGTCAATGTCGAAGGACAGTCCCGTTTGAGTGAGACCATCTTGGAGACACCTCACCCTCTCATGTTTCAGAAGCTCCAGGACCAGGTAAAGTTATTTTCTTCAATAATAAAGTTTAGTTAGTTTTTGTCTGTTTTATTTTTTTAATGAACTCTGCTTTCTAAGCACAAGTTATTGTAGGAAAGTTGGAAATCAGCGTGCTCCTACCTGTGCCATGGGTTGAGTAGGTAGACAGAGCTGGGTTGCTTCCACGTTGGGGATGTTAATGCAGCTGCCCTGAGCTCCTGGCCCCATCTGACTAGTTAATTAAGAGACTCAACCAATTCCAGTTCAGGTCTTTCCTGGAAAACTGGATGAAGTTTTCTCCTAGGTTCCTATGTGGTTAGCTTGAGGATCACCCAACTGACTGACTTGGTGCCTTCGTTTTCCTGTGTGTTCACTGAGCTGAGTCATTGCTGATGTTTGTTTCCGTAGTTGCCACTAGTTTCCTTGAGAGCTCGAGAGTCTTCATTTTGCTTTGTTTTGGTATTGATATGAGTATCATGCAATTTTCTGAAAAGTCTCCTCTTTTGTAACAGGCAAAACTTAGAGGAGTTGATATTTCCTTTGCCTTTTCCTAAAGAACTTGGGAGGTCTGGTAGAAATTAGGTGATATTTTCCAGGCTTGTCTTTTGGTGGTAAATTTTCTTGATATTTAGCTGATTTTAAAGCACAAGTTATGAGGTGAGTCATTCTTATCTGCAGCTTTCCAGCACTTGCAGTACTATTTTTAATTTCTGTACCATCCTCAGGACTACCTGTATTTTCCATTTGGCTCTTTTCTTTTTGTGGAGGAACAGTAATTTCATTTAAATAGTGTTCTCAACCCATTTCACATCAGGTATTGGATATGTTAGTTGGGCACTGGCTGGGGCAATTGAAGGGGTTTGAGGAGCAAAGGCTCTGCTATCTGTCAAACAGATTCTAAGTCATTAGAAGTGGAAATGTCTGAAACTCAATTTCCATGTGCCAGACGCAGAGATTTTTCATGGAAAAACTTCTGACTTTGGGGAAGGGAAAAAATGTTCTGGTAAATCTAATTATGAGAGTGAAGCTGGAGAGACCACTGGAGTTAAAATATTTCTCTGTTTTACAAATGACATGCACATGGACAGCCAGGGATTAGTAATACCTCAACTAGAAACATGCTAGACCAGGGGTAGAGGAATCCCACTAGTGTGGGAAGAAAGTCTGTGAACTGCAGAGCATTCATGGGTCATTTCAGGGTTCCACTGCTTGAAGCTTCTGTTTATTGCTGTTAGATAATAGTTCAACAAGAGTTATGGTCTTCTCTAGTTTTCAATCCTTATAAAGTTATGAAGAATGGTGGAAGTTGTTCTCTGAAAAACCATGTTAACTACTGCTGGCACTGTGTGTCTGAAGTAGAAAAAGCCAGAGCTTGAAGAGCATAGTGTTGTCTGCAGCATTGCTGGTAACCAGCACTGCAGCTCTGCAGAGACCTGCTGACTTATCTGGGGCTGCTGGTGGGGTCTGAGCTTGTGCTCACGGGGTGGCCTGAAACAAATAGCTTGGGGGCAGTGGTTGGTGCTGACTGAAGCAGTGTTAGAGTGATTCATTGAAATTTGCATGTTTCAAAATACAGGGTAAATGTTCCTGCTCCAGGAAGGCAGTGAGAGGAGGGGAGGGGGGAAAGAGGGTTCTGTATATTTGGGCTGACCAGACTGCAGAATATTTTGATCTTACAGTGCTCTTTCTCTCTGGGAGATGCTTTAAATGATACCAGGAACAAGAAGGGTCTAAGTTCTTAACACCAACATGATGTTTTCACAGGCAATGTCTTCCTTACAACTTTTTGTCTTGAGCTGGTTGGATAAGTCTAATTATACCGTAGTTAGCCAATGCCAGGAGGTGTAATTTGACTTTACTTAACTGCATTGATTAGGGTCTACATGGAGAGCATGTCTTGGGACTTTTCATATTCCAATACGTAGCTTATTAAACAGTATTTCCACAGTTTTAAACATGAGCTTAAATATTTAAATACATAAACAAACAGTGGGTAGTAAAATCCCTCATCTAATTTACTTGTAAGGGAGCTATTTTGGCAAAGACACAGGCAAGAACAGTCAAGTTTTAGGTGTTTGCCTTTATCTGCCCTGGTTCCTTGAGGATGTAAAATGAACATAGTTTGAGACTATGTTTTTTTTCCTCCTAACACACAGTTGTGTTACCTGGTTGTGCTGTCAGTGAGGCCTGTAAAGGTAAGGCTGCAGTTACCCACACATGGGTTAGCCACACAGGCAGGTCAGAATCCACAAATTTAGTTACTCTGAATACCATAAAATGTGATCAGTCCTGCAAATGACTCAGATGCTCCACCAGTGAAATAATAGGCCGAGGGTGATTTAGGCTTTGGTTTTGCCTCAATTATAGTTTTGAGGTTTACTTTTTTCCTTCCCTTCACTTTCAAGACTAAGCAAAATATAGTCCTGACCTTGACACCTGATCTGTTTCCAGGCTCTTCTCCCAACCCCTTTTGTTTTCAGAAACCTCCAAATGAGTTCTAGCTTTTTTGTCTGCGATGAGTATAAATAGAAGAGCAGCAGTTATGTTGAGAGACGAGCCTGAGCTCCAGCCCTGGGAGAGAAAAGCTGTACTTGGTGCTTCCATGCTAGTTGCACACTGGCTATGAGAAGAAGGGCAGCTCTTGGCCTAGTGGAAAGCATAATGGCACAAATTTATTCCATCATCAATTTAAAAGCACATTTTAACTGGCAAAATACACTTGTACCAGAGCAGCTCTTTGTGGCAGTTACCTGTACCATTTCTGACCTAACCTGAGACCAGCCTTGACGTTTGGTTGTGTAGTAGTCTAAAAGGATGGGAAGATTGGTTTAAGAAACCAATGGGATGAATGGTAAGAAACCAATGGGAGGAGAGGTTTAAGAAATATTGCTTAAACCAGTTGTTTCAGTCTCAATTCAGCTTGAAGTTTCAGTATTTGTCTAAATTATTTAGGGGTTTCCTTCATCATCCAGTGCCTTATGTGAGTTATTCTGAACGTTCAAGAGTAACTGCAGCCAGAAAGGTGCTGTAGAATGTACCTCTCTTTCTTCAGCTCTGCTCTGTCCCTCTGAGCATCTTCCAGCCCCCCTGCCAAGGGGACACCCTCACTTGGTGTAACACCTGGTAGCTCTGCAGCCTAAGGCTGCCATGGGAAGGGTCCAGGTAATGTCCTGGTTTGTCACACCTGCACTTACCTGATAATCCTTCCCAGTGACCATGCTGTGGGAGCTCTCACCTTCACTATTAGGTTTTCAGAGTTGGCTATTGTGAAAACTATAATCTGATTCTTAAACTAACACAGATATTACTGCAAAACAGTGAGTGTGGACACTACAGTGTTGCTTGCTACCTGCAGCCCCTTTAGGAGCTTGAGGTGTGTTTTTTTGTGTCTTGCTTTTTAGCAATGCTTTAGTACTAGCAGAACAAAAGCACATTAGAATTAATATGCTGTCCTTCTCATTTCAAATCTCATTTTACTTAGGTCACTGGTTTTGTGTTCTTTTTTCCCTCTCTTACCAGATATTCAATCTCATGAAATATGACAGCTACAGCCGCTTCTTAAAGTCAGACATATTCCTAAACCATAAGAAGTGTGAGGAGCAAGAGGAGAATTCACCAGAGGCTCAGACTGCAGCTAAAAGAGCATCGAGAATTTACAACACATGATATGACGGATCTCTTCGGGAGAGGCAATCCAATAATGAAATTACACTCAGGAACAGTCTAGGTTTATAGCAATTGCATTTAGGGCTTGGAAAGCTCAAAACCTTTTTTAGGAGATACTTACCTTCTTAATTGCTTGAATGACTAATTGTTTTTGCATGATAGCTATTAACCAAGCACCCATGGAAAGACTGTTTCCTAGCTAAAAGGCTGAGGTATTCCTCCATAGCATGAATTGCCTTTCATATTTCATGACTTAAAGTGCTTTCAATTCTTGTATTTTCTTTTGTGAGGCATCATGAGATGAGAAATGGAAGACAGAGTGTTTGTTTGGTTTGTTTTTTGGTTTTTTTTTGGTTTTGCCTTGTAATTTTGATTTGTGATTAGCTCTTACATGCTGAATTGCTGGGAGAAGCTATTGAGGAGTACATTTCCCATTACTTTGTGGATGAGTCATTCATAGCAAATTTAATCACCAAGGGACAACATCTTTCAGGGTTAAGCTCAGTAGAATCCAATCCCTTCCTAAGTAACTTCGTTCTTTCAGGGTGATACTTGTTTTGCTTTGCCTTTATTGTTAAATCAAAATGCTTCTCTAGTCACGATTTTCATTTCTGTATTTCCAAATATCCCCCATGGGTTTTTTTGCAGTAGACAATCACCTTCTTCAGAGGATAGAGTAACCTCTATTCCCTTGGGAACAAAGGCACTAAAATAGGCAGAATCTCTGAAGAACTTCTAACTGCCATTAGGAAATGTGCCAGCTAATAGACCACTCAGGGCACACTGGATTCAGCAGAGCTTGGCTGGGGCATGTCCTGCATGTCTCTGGTCTCTCCCAGGTCTCCTGACCACTCCTGCTCCTTGCAGCAAGAGCACTTTGGCAAAGGACCAAACAACAAAGTCTGGTTTAATTTTACTGAAATATTTCTGCTAACATCACCCTGCCTAATTTTGTTTGCCCCAGAGAAGTATTCCAGGGTTTCTTTGGAGAGCTGCAGTGGAGCAGAGGGTTGACACTGGGGTTCAGCCATTCTCACACCATGCTTGAGAGGAATGGGAATTTATTGCAGTTCAGTGAAAGGTGAAATATCAGGGTGGTAAACGAAGACACTTCCAATGAGCTTTCCATGATGCCCCGGGAATGTGTCAGAGCAGCAAAGCACATTTTGTCAAACAGATTTTCATGTGTTTTTATGTATTTTTTCATCGATTCACTGCAATGTCACTGGATTGCAGTTTAAGCTGGGAAGGCATATTAGCTACTTACTATATTTACAAGCTTTGCAGTGTGTAGTTTAGCTGTTTCACCTTCTCATTATTTACTCTCTCCTTTTTTGCACTGCTCATCTTGAACTTCTGTTTCTGTGCTGGTTAATCTACATGCACAGCTAGCTTTTGATTGTTAGATGATTATTTTTTTGTCAGAAAGGCCAGGTATGTTTTTTACATTACTGTCTCTATCAGTGTTTTAAAGCTAAGTCTAGACTGTCATTTCTGAGAATACAAACTCACTTGGTAGACTTTATGATTTCTTTCAACTCTGAGCCACACTTGCAGGTAATGTGTAGAGGAAATGGTTTCCATGGGCTTTTCCCTAGTAAGATGTCAAAGTGGGAATGGAAGTTCTGATTCTTCCCCCAGAGCTACATGTCCTGTTCATTTTTAGAGCTTCAAAGAAGAGGTCAGTGCCTCTGTTGTGCATGTTGTAAGGTGTAATTCTTATGCACTGAGTTACTTTTCCTTTTATGCTCTCAAAAGATTTAATGGTGAGGTCATATTACTTCAGGCACTTTCCATGGTATCTCATCTGGTGTTTAAATTGTATTTCAATGTTTTACTGAATAGGAATGAACTAAACACGTGCATGAACCTTTTTTTTTTTTTTTTTCCCAATGGGGCCTAGGAAATGGGACCATCCAGTTCTGGACTTGCCAAGTGTTTGTAATCTCAGGATTACCTCCCTTGAAACTTCACTGCAATGCCAAACTCTCAGTGCCTGCCACAGCAGAGGGTGGAACTTCTGATAGCATGGAAGTCCTCGGGAGTGGGAAGCTTAACCAGTTCAGGAGTTGGGATTTGTCTCTCCCCAGTATTTGCTGCAGATGTCTTAGTGATACTGAAAAATTCAGGATGGGACATTCATGGGAAAAATGCAGAATGAGCTCCTAACACATTCATTACATGGATGCACAGAAGATTCAGTTTTAATCATATTGATTTTAGAAACACATGGGTAAGGGAGAAGAGTCTTTGGCTATCATGTTTTAAAATAATAATAATAAAAAAAATAAAACCAGAAGCTGCATGAACAATGGTAGGACATTAAAGAGAGAAAATACTCATGTGTAGCTGCTTATAAACATTTTTCTTGGCAATATCAGGTACTGTCTTTGCTTGTTAAGAGCAAATGCCCCATATAAGGAGACACAAAGGTGCTTTACTACTAGCCAAAAGTTACTGAGACAGAAATGTATTTTTTAGCAGCATCTCAATGCCTATGATGCTTATTTCAATACCTGTTATGTTTCTAATCTAATATACCTAAACCCACAAAATTATTTGCCACTGAATTGCTCTTTTACCTCAGAAGGTAAAAAGTGGTCTATTCGTGGTGTCTGGTTTTGTTTTATATTTCTAGAGCACTAACAAGTAGACTTGGAAGGTGCAGAAATCAAAGATCTTGTCCCATTCATTGGGCTATCTGTATTTTTCAGTTGAAGAGCAAACAAAGTAAAACCATGCAAGCAGATGTCTGTAGCTGCAGCATGTATATACATGGAGGAAGTTATTTTGCTTTTGTTGATTATTAGCACTGGTCAAACTTACTTTGCAAAGCAGATGACATTTGCTCTATGTGGCATAGAACAAATCACACAGAGAGAAAAAGAACTGTTTCCCTGTAAGTAAATCTGCATTCCAGGAACAACTATAAACATTGCATCAAACCTCAGGCTGTAAGTGGGTGCTCAGAGTTGCTTCTTGTAGATATTAAAGATAGGATCTACTTCTTTTCATAGAACTCACACTGAAGGTACGAGCACAAAAAAACCAAGAGAAGTTTCACGCCTGATTGCATGCCTTAAACTCGACCCTATTTTGTATTTCTCAGTTAAAATTAAAACATTCTATAAATACACCATATCCGTGTGCTGACAGCTGCTTTATGTTTTGGGCACAGTTTGGGCCAAGATCACTTCATGCACCATAGTTATCCCATTTTCTGCTTTCAGTCCCTGTTAACACAGTTGTTTACATTCTGTCCTAGTATGTTTTTCTCTTGGAAGGTGGGATGACAGAGTGGGGCTCACTGCTGAGGGAGCTGTTGTCTGGACAAATTGCACAAAGTTACTCCAGCAGTGGAAGATGCTTCTTGTACCTCCATCTCCCATTTCTTTGTTCCTGTCGTATTTCTTCCATCGCACTTGCCAACCCATGGATGTGGATAAGGAGGGCTTGAAACATCAGAGAAAAAGGTTTGAATATTCAGGCTGCGATGACAGTTGGGAACATGCTGATATTTTACTGGAGATTCAGATTTATTTTGAATGAGTTGCATTTGCATTTGGGCTGAAAACTAATTAGGTCTATGATGCAGAGAGGTCCCAAACCATTTGATGATTCTGTGACTGGTTCAGAGCTGAAAAGGGATTTATTCTCCCTTTTATAAATTGTTTATTTTCATCCTAAAACAGAGCAGCAAGTCTTACCAAGTCACTCAGTTTTGCCACCCTGGCAAACCAGAAGGATTGTTTACATGACAGTGATAATTTCCTTGTCCCAGAGGCAGTGTCTGTTGTTTTATATCCAACACAGCTCATATCTAAGGGCTTCAAGAGCTGTTTTGACAGAGGCACAGCTCAAAGCAAGCTGTTGGGCATCCCTTACCCCAAGGATCTATGAGACCTTACTGTGCTGCCATCCAAGTGCTCAGCAGCTGCAGCCTGAATTCTGATGACTTCAGTTTAGGAGCTTGACTAGAATGAAGTGAGAGATGCTTTTCATCAGGGCTGTAATATCTTGGCTGATCAGCGAGCAGATCCATTGCTGCCAGGAGTTAAAAAGCACCGGGTTCTAAGGGGCTTGGGAAGGTGAGGGAAGGAACAAGCAAAGGCAGAATGGAATGATTGCCAAATTTAACAGCACCCTCTCCTGGCTCTTGGCAGGATAACGTGTTGGAATATTGGTCTAGGAGTAAGACTCCAAACCCAGGAAGGTCACAGCTGCTTGTTCCTCAAATGATGACCTTTCTGTCAGCAGTAAATTCAAACTAAAGCACTCTGCTAAACTACTAAAGTGGCTCAGCTTGTCATTAAAGGCACTTGGTGTGGCTTTGATCAAAACTTCAGGTGATGGCTGTGCATAAGAAAACTGATTAAAATTGCTTTGAGAGCTGGCATTGCAGAGCAGATAATTCTCCTGGCCTCTTGTGCCTGCTGCAAGACTTCAGAAAAGGGCCAGTAGTTGTCCCTTCCCCCACGGCCTTGGGCTGTGCTCCTTTGAATCACCCAAAAACAGGACATTTCCTGAAGGAAGCAGTGAGCAGCATGCTGAGTGCTGCAGCCTGGCCACAGGGAATGGGCACTGTTATGTGCTGGTTTCTACCACTGTCCTATTGCTTCAGCTTCTACCACACTATCCTATTGCTTTGGCTTTTCCAGAGGTGATACACCTAAAAATCCAAACCACTGCCTGTCTGCATCCTGGTGTTACTCTTCAGCTCTGTAAAGCTTGTTTCACTTTACACAAACATCTGCAAACCAGAAAGAAATTTGACTGAGTAAAGCTGTGCTGCACAGACAGGGAAGGGGCAATGTCACCCACTACTCCACGTCTCAGCAAGCACTGGAGCTGCCACCAGTGGGATGTCCTGGCACTGGGTGAGCAGTGCACAGGAGCTTTTTTGCTTTCTTTGCAGTATAACTTTCAAGCAGAATCTGGCAGTGTGTTTCCTTACTGCAGCAGCTCCTCAGTGCACGTTTTCCCAAAGGATTCCCGGGTTTGTCTGCGAGCTGTGCTGCCTGGCTAGACCACTCAGCCCAGGGGAGATGGTGGTGGTCAGTGGAGCTTGGGCCGGATGATGTGCCAGGCTGTGCAGCTCAGCTGGCAGGAGCTGAGCCAAAGCTGTATCAGCATTAACAAATGTGGTTTTCATCAGGCCTATCTCAGCTGCCTGTGG